TGTATGTGTAAGTTTGGGGGTCTGAAATGGACTAATCTAATTCACAATATTCCTTATGGGAACAAATTCAGTCAGTACTGGCACCTGAACATACTTCTGGAATGAAATAATATCGTTAACCGGGGGTCCACTGCATTATCTATTGGCTGGAGGAGAGGTTCTTCTGGTTTTGTTAAGTTTATCACTATTATGAGACAGCTTTTTAGATCCTAGAATTTCAGATTAGGTTTTCCAGGTCTTTTTCATATCACCTCTTATGTCATGAAATCTGGTTTCATAATACAGTTTTTTTGACTTCCTTATTAGATTAGTTAGTGTTGACGAGTAACGTTTTGCCAGATTCTTTGTTATTAGTCCCATTCTGTACTGTTTTTCATATAGATGTTATTTATCAATAGATTTGAGGATGCTGCTTGTAAGCCTGGGGCTGTTAAATTAGACACATGTGCAACTCTTGGGTATCTTAATTGAGGAAATGTTTAGCCACACAGTGGCTTCATCAGTCCATACACAGGAGAAGCTTGAAGAACAGGAGGAAAATGAGGTAATCAGTCCCTCAACCTTGAGTCGATGTGGTCAGTCCATCAATCTTGATACCCAAGAGTTGCACATGTGTCTAATTTAACAACGTGTCGGTTCTGTGAACCATTCATCTACAAGCCAGGGGCTGTTTAGTCTCTTTGCTGTGATCTTAGTTTTTAGCGAGCAATGCATGTTATAGAAGTTTTTTGTAAAAAAAATATTGACACATTCATCACTATTGAAGTTGACTGTGTTACGAAATTCGTCTTCTTAACCTTCTCCAGTGGTATGGTAGAGTGTTAAGCAGATGGACTGTTTACAGCTTTGTAACAAGTAACTAAAACTTAGAATCTTTACTAATAGAGTTTTAGCTGAATATATGCTTATATAAAATTAAGACTGACATAAAATAAGGCATTTAACTCTTACACTTCTCTTGGTACATAACAGTATATCGATATGGATAAATAAACCTCTTGAGGCTGAGCTTTGTACTAAGTTCACCAATTATATCCACCGTAAGGCAACCAACGATGGTTACTAAGACTTAGATGAACTCTTAATTCACAGTATACAAGAACTCGTAAGTGACAGACTTAGTCTTATTTCCATCCAGCATGACTTAGAATATCTTAGACCACAAATTAACACACAAAGGCCAACAAGGTTTATTCAGTCAACTGAACGATTAATTCACCAAAGTATAGATAACTCGAAAGTGATAAACTTAAGAAAGGAAGTCAATTATGAAAGAAAAACGACCACCAGAGAGAACTTGACATGTCTCTTATGAGAGGTTAATGAGTGACTGAGAGTAGGTATGCTCCATTGGCTATGCAAACCCAGACTGAGTTGAGACTACTCCTCCAAGCCTTACAATACCTCATGACACTGACGGTGCGAGCGACTGCCACACTAACAACCTAACGACAGTTAGCCAGGTTGCTACTCAGTGAAGCACTTACCACTTAGAATAAACATCCTATCTATCAACATAGCTAACAATATAAGGGCAGACAATACCCTAAAGCACAATAGACATTATTTTAGCTAATAATAATGCCATTGGTAATATAATATTAAGTGAATACCAAAATATGTGCACACAATATTAATTATTAACCTAGGGTCCAGTCAGAGGATGCAACAGACTGCTAGCTCTTTTTGCCAGTTGATGTCACTTAATGCTGAAATAAAGTAATTAACTGATAACTCGTATAGTCGGAAGGTGATCTTAGTTGTGTCCTGAGGTAATTTACATAAGTTGGTTATGAGAAAGTTGGGATAGTGGTCAGTGGTGTTATCTGTGATTGCTCCTGCTTTTAATGGGGATATAGTGTTTGTCCAGATTTGGTCTAGTAATGAGGCACCTGACTCAGAGATTCTAGTAGGTTTTGTTATAGTTGGCAGAAGTAAGTAGCTTGTCATAGTGTTTGTGAATTCAGTTACTTGTGGGTCGTGGTCATGGATAATGTTTATGCTGAAGTCACCTGTGAGTATCAGATGGTGTTTATTCATCTCTGCATCAGTTATCATGTTCCTTAGCTTTTCACTAAATGCATAAATATTAGTGAGGTACTCTGTAGATTGCCCCAAATGTTAAAGATTTTTTAAGGTCTTTGGATTTAAATTTAGCAAATGTATATTCACCATATTCATCCACAATGCAAGTAGATTTTATACATTCAAGCTCATCACAGTTGTATATTGCTGTTCCACCTCGTAATTGGTCTGGCTACAGTTGTGTATGGCCATGTAGCCTGGTATGGCATAAATGTTAGTAACATCATATTCTAGCCGTACACAATACACAAATAACCCGCACATAAAAGAGAAAAGCTTACGACGACTTTTCGGTCCGACTTGGACCATTTACAAATTCATACTAACCAAGACAGTCACGTAAGAAGTGAAGCTGATTCTTACGACGCCTGGTAGCAATAAGAGCACCTCGTAAGATCGAAAGAGGGGTTTAAAAGAGGGAAGAATATTAAAAAAGTTGGAGAGAATATGACGCTTAACTGCGGGGTCCATAATTACCATGAAAAGGCACAATACCGTGACTGGAACAATACACAAATAACCCGCACATATATTCTAGCCCATTTTTAGTGAGAGTAATGATAGACATACTGACATTTAGAGGACTGACCAGTACTTGGAGGTTATCATAGTGTTTACTTAATGATCTGATATTATAACTGAATACAGCTATGTTATTGTTGGCACTGAGTAGTGTCTTAGTCTGACCAGCGGTGTAATAAAGGCAATTGTTGTTTGGATTGTGTATGTCATTTAATAAGAGGTTAATATCAGGATCAGTGTTTGCAATCATATGACTAATGCAGGATTAAGATTGTATAACTAACAGAAAAGATATTATTATCTATTAATAAGGGTTGATATAGTGACTATGACAAGTATTAAATCAATATTGCAAAACTTTTAGGATTCAATATTGCACTGGAGGTAATATGAAAATTTTTAAAAGGCAGTACAAAGTATTGGTATATAAAGAACTATTTTAAAAGATTATACAGAGACTAAGCAAATAATAATACAAAAATATAAAATGGACAGATAGTAAATATGATATTAAATTTAAAGCATAAGATTTGACTTGCAGCAAGTACAGGTCTACCATCACTAATTCTGCATCACTGGGATTTGCTGGATTAGTGAGTTTTCTGGATGACAGACCCCTCAGGAAGGTTCCTTGATACTGGTGAGGGGCTCTTGATTTAGGGAATTGGATCTGTGCTCCAGTTCCCCGAATTAAGCCTGAATGCCTTCCACATCCCCCCCCAGGCGCTGTATAATCCTACGGGTTTAGTGCTTCCCTTTGATTATAATAATAATCTGGATTACAGAGTGGTTAGGTTAGAATACACTTAATTAACCTATCTATAGTGGCTCTTTCTGCTTTATCTTCCTCATTGTCATCACTGCTGTCTCCTCCACTGGCTTGTTGCTGTGGATTTACAACCATCTGCACAATTTCTGAGTCAGTATAATGATGAAATTTGAAATTATGCTAGCCGAAATTAGTGCCGGATTACTGATGGAGCCGGATAACTGATTGCCGGATTAGTGATGGCCAATCTGTAATAACACATAAGCATGTTAGGAGTGAATTGAGATGAATGGTTTTTGGGACCTGATGAGCTGTTGGAGTGTGAGCAGGGTAACATTATGTGAAGGGATTCGGGGAAACCTGTTAGCCGGACTTAAGTCCTGGAAATGGGAAGTACAGTGGACCCCCGCATAACGATCACCTCCCAATGCGACCAATTATGTAAGTGTATTTATGTAAGTGCGTTTGTACGTGTATGTTTGGGGGTCTGAAATGGACTAATCTACTTCACAATATTCCTTATGGGAACAAATTCGGTCAGTACCGGCACCTGAACATACTTCTGGAATGAAAAAATTTTGTTAACCGGGGGTCCACCGTACAATGTCTGCACTTTGAAGGAGGGGTTTGGGATATTGGCAGTTTGAAGAGATGTCTAAACTGTCATATCTGAGCGGCTCTGCAAAGACAGTGATTATGTATGAGTGATGGTGAAAGTGTTGAATGATGATGAAATTTTTTTCTTTTTTTTGGGGGGTCACCCCACCTCAGTGGGAAACAGCTGATGTGTTAAAACAAAAATATGGTGGGCTTCTCCTTATATTCCAAATTTCAGCTCTATTGTAGCTGCCTCCAAGGGAATCTGACCATTTACAACATCCCGTGACATTTATGTATTTCTTAGTCTTCCATTTAAGTTGATTCACGCATTTTTGGCTTCGATAACACCTGATTTGTCTCTATTATACTGTCCAGCATATTCTATAACTACGCCATATTTCAGCGCCACACAACCTGTCTGTTGTTTCTCTCGTGGCTAGAAATTTTCTAAAAGTCACACCAACACTACAGTTTTTAAATAATATTATATTATTTACACAATATTACATTATTCAATATTTACACAAAAATTGAAAAATTTTGACAAATATAATTCTTGTTTATTGTGGTGATATATTATGTTCAGTGCTACAGCATATACACCTACCATCCGACTTACGACCGAGTTCGGTTCCGAGAAACCGGTCGTAAGTCGAACTTTACTACTGAATATCAACAAAACATTTTTATAATGACTTTATTTTATTGTTTTATTTTGGTATTTCATGTTTTACTTTACTTTTTATGTTGTTAGTACTGTATTTTATACTGTAAGGTTTAGGATAAACACTGTGTACAACATAAATAGTTGCTTATTTCCCAGAAATTTGCCATAAAAAACACAGTCGTAAGTCGAGTGGTCGTAAGTCGGATGGTAGGTGTATTGTAGTTATTGGTGACAGCGAATGAACATTTCAACTTTACAATGGTTCAGTTTCCAATATTTCCACTTATGGTATTGTGTATTGTGAATTGTTGTAGTTATGGTATTGTGGGTTTTATTTAACTCGTATCATTGTTCCAGGTTCGGCCGACATCTCTACATGCATCCTCACAGCAAAACAGAGAAATTGAGCGATTGATCACCAAACAGCGGCGGATGACACTGGATGACTGGAAGGATCATGGTGGAACAGCTGGCCGGGTTGACTGCTCCGGCATCTGGGCTGACACAAGGGAACATATGCCATCCGCTAGGACGGAACACCGGCAGAACGATGGAAGGAACGGAGCGTTCCGGCCATGGCAGAACAACAGCCGGGAAGGCACTTCTGCCCGGCCGTGTCCTTGGCCCTGGCCGGGCGAAGGAAGGATGGAAGTGTTCTCGACCAGGACGAGGCCTCGGCCACGGCGGAATGACTGGAACAGAGTTGAAGTGTTCTCAAACTACTGTCGCCATTGTGGTGGGCGAAAGTGAGGTCAACCCGGGTATTATGACCCCAGACCTGTACTCTAGAGTCCATCAAACTGCATAGATGGCCATGGCCATCATAACACTGGCCATCATGACCATGGAAGGGTGGCCCTGCTCATCATAGCACCAGCCATCATGACCCTGGATGAGTGGCCCTGGTCATCATAACCCTGGATGGGTGGCCCTGGCCATTATGGCCATGGAAGGGTGGCCTTGCTTATCATAGCACTGGCCATCATGACCCTGGATGGGTGGCCCAGGTCATCATAACACTGGCCATAATGACCCTGGATGGGTGGCCCTGGCCATTATAACACTGGCCATCATGGTTTTGGATGGGTGGCTCTGGCCATCATAACACTGGCCATCATAGAAATGGCCATTGTGACACTGGATGGGTGGACCTGGCCATCATAGCACTGACCTTCATGGCACTGGATGGGTGACCCTGGCCATTATAACACTGGCTATCATAGCACTGGCCATCATGGCACTAGACAAGTGGCCCTGGTCATCATAACACTGATCATGGCACTGGATGGGTGGCCCTGGTCATCATAACACTGGCCATCATAACATTGGCCATCATGGCACTGGATGGGTGGTGCTGGTCATAACACTGGCCATCATGGCCCTTGATGGGTAGCTCTGGCCATCATAACACAGACCATCATAGCACTGTCTTTCATAGCACTGGATGGGTGGCCCTGGACGAGTGGCTCTTGCCGTTGTAACACTGGCCATTGTGGCACTGGACATATGGATGTGGCCTTCATAGCACTTGCCATCATGGCCCTGGAAGGGTGGTTCTAGCCATCAGAACACTGGCCATCATAGCACTAGATGTATTGCACTGGCCACCATGGCACTGGATGGGTGGCCCTGGCCACGATAACTGGAAATCATAGTACTGGCCATCATGGCCCTCGATGGGTGGCTCTGACATCATAACACTGACCGTCATAGCACTAGATGTGTTACACTGGCCATCATGGCCCTGGATGGGTGGCCTTGGCCATCAAAACACTGACCATCATAGCACTGGCCATCATGGCATTGAACAGGTGGCTCTGGCCTTCATAACACTGGCCATCATTGCCCTTGACATGTGGCCCTGGCCATCATAACAGACCATCATAGCACTAGCCATGATGGCCCTAAATGGGTGACCCTGGCCTTTATAGCACTGGCAATCATGGTACTGGGTGGGTGGCCCTGGCTATTATATCACTGATCATAGCACTGGCCATGATGGCCGAGAATGGATAGCCTTGGCCATCATAGCACTGGAAATCATAGCAATGGCCATCATGGCTCTCAATGGGTGGCTATGGCAATCATACCACTGACCATAATAGCACTAGATGTGTTGCACTGGCCATCATGGCCCTGGTTGGGTGGCCCTGGCCATCATAACACTGGCCATCATGGCCCTGGCCACCATAGCCCTGGCTATCATGACACAGCAACAATATTTGGACTACCTCCACCACTTCAGGCTGAAGGACTAACCACCTTAAATTACTTAATTACTTGACACTTTCCACTGTCTCTCTGAAATTGACTGATGAAGCCAGTAAAGACTACCGGGTGTTGCACAGGTGTTTAATTTATACAGGAGCTTTATAAGAAAACAGATTGTATATAGTAGACTACTGCTGGAGAGTTCCTGGAGTATACCTGGAGAGGGTTTCGGAGGTCAATGCCCCCACGGCTCGGTCTGTGACCAGGGCTCATGGTGGATCAGGGCCTGATTAACCAGGCTGTTACTATTGACTGCATGTAACCCGATTCACTAACCACAGCCCGGCTGGTCAGGTACTGACTTTAGGTGCCTGTCCAGTGCCTTCTTGAAGACAACCAGGGGTCTTGAAGACAGCCAGGAGTCTTGAAGACAGCCAGGGGTCTTGAAGACAGCCAGGGGTCTTGAAGACAGCCAAAGGTCTTGAAGACAGTCAGGGGTCTTGAAGACAACCAGGGGTCTTGAAGACAGCCAGGGGTCTTGAAGACAGCCAGGAGTCTTGAAGACAGCCAGGGGTCTTGAAGACAGCCAGGGGTCTTGAAGACAGCCAGAAGTCTTGAAGACAGCCAGGAGTCTTGAAGACAGCCAGGGGTCTTGAAGACAGCCAGGGGTCTTGAAGACAGCCAAAGGTCTTGAAGACAGTCAGGGGTCTTGAAGACAACCAGGGGTCTTGAAGACAACCAGGGGTCTTGAAGACAACCTAGGGTCTTGAAGAAGCCAGGGATCTTGGACAGCCAGGGGTCTTGAAGACAACCAGGAGTCTTGAAGACAACCTAGGGTCTTGAAGACAACCAGGGGTCTTGAAGACAACCTAGGGTCTTGAAGACAGCCAGGGGTCTTGAAGACAGCCAGGGGTCTTGAAGACAGCCAGAAGTCTTGAAGACAGCCAGGAGTCTTGAAGACAGCCAGGGGTCTTGAAGACAGCCAGGGGTCTTGAAGACAGCCAAAGGTCTTGAAGACAGTCAGGGGTCTTGAAGACAACCAGGGGTCTTGAAGACAACCAGGGGTCTTGAAGACAACCTAGGGTCTTGAAGAAGCCAGGGATCTTGGACAGCCAGGGGTCTTGAAGACAACCAGGAGTCTTGAAGACAACCTAGGGTCTTGAAGACAACCAGGGGTCTTGAAGACAACCTAGGGTCTTGAAGACAACCAGGGGTCTTGAAGACAACCAGGGGTCTTGAAGACAACCTAGGGTCTTGAAGAAGCCAGGGATCTTGGACAGCCAGGGGTCTTGAAGACAGCCAGGGGTCTTGAAGACAACCAGGGGTCTTGAAGACAGCCAGGGGTCTTGAAGACAGCCAGGGGTCTATTGATAATCCCCCTTATGTATGCTGGGAGGCAATTGAACAGTCTTGGGCCCCTGACACTTATTGTGTTGTCTCATATCATGCTAGTTACACCCCTGGTTTTCACTGGGGTAATGTTGCATCATCTGCCGAGTCTTTGCTTTCATAGGGAGAGATTTTTGTGTGCGATTTTGGTACTTATCTCTCAAGGATTTTCCAAGTGTATATTATCATGTATCTGTCTCACCTACATTCTAGGGAGTACAGGTTCAGGAACTTCGTGTTCCCAGTAACTGAGGTGTTTTATCTCCATTAAGCACACCGTGAAAGTTCTCTGTACATTTTCTAGGTCAGCAATTTCACCTGCCTTGAAAGGTGCTGTTAGTGTGCAGCAATATTCCAACCTAGATAGAACAAGCGACCTGAAGAGTGTCATCATGGGCTTGGCCTCCCTAGTTTTGAAGGTTCTCATTATCCATCCTGTCATTTTTCTAGCAGATGTGATTGATACAATGTTATGGTCCTTGAAGGTGAGATCCTCCGACATGATCACTCCCAGGTCTTTGAAGGTGAGATCCTCTGTGTTACACTCCATGGGTTGTAACCACTCAGATAGTTTCCTTTTGGTTAGAGCATAACAACATTGGTCAGAGAGGTTGGGGTAATAATAGTAATCCTTTGGAAATCTTATCTTAATGAAGCAATTATAAATGAAATACTATACAGCAAGAAACCCAATCTTACGTTCAATAATTTCAATTAATAATCTACTAATCTCACCATTTAACACTTTTAGAAAGGTCTGAGGTAAAGAAATAGTTATCTTTCATAAGTGACATGAATTACCAGACTTCAGGAAACTAATGGCAAAGGCAAGACAATAGACTTGGTGTAAAGTTTTAGTTTAAGCTAGGAGCTTTTTGTTGAAGACCCGTACCGAGTCAGAGCTAGGAGCTGACTGACTCACTCAACTACTTCATAGTATGACTTGAGCTCGGCCAGAAGACCCGTACCGAGTCAGAGCTAGGAGCTGACTGACTCACTCAACTACTCCATAGTATGACTTGAGCTCGGCCAGAAGACCCGTACCGAGTCAGAGCTAGGAGCTGACTGACTCACTCAACTACTCCATAGTATGACTTCAGCTCTACCAGAAGGCGACGCGTGGCGTCAATTCTAGAACCACCAATTGGTCACTACAGTAGTGGTTACACATTCGTAATACCTAACCTAATAATAATACAATATAATACAATGAGAGTACTGTTGATGATTCACACTGTACCCGATAATAATATATAGTCGAACCTGCTTTATCTAGCTAGTAATAAAGTGGTTCGCGATATATTATTATAGAACTTATTTTAACCAGACCTTTTATTTTTGTATATAATGGAGTGAAGTAGGGGCGCGTAACACACACATTATATATATATATATAGTGAGGCTCAAGTTAGAGTATGTAGGAAAGAGGGAAATTATTTCCATAAAAGTAGGCCTTAGACAAGGATGTGTGATGTCACCGTGGTTGTTTAATATATTTATAGATGGGGTTGTAAGAGAAGTAAATGCGAGGGTCTTGGCAAGAGGTGTGGAGTTAAAAGATAAAGAATCACACACAAAGTGGGAGTTGTCACAGCTGCTCTTTGCTGATGACACTGTGCTCTTGGGAGATTCTGAAGAGAAGTTGCAGAGATTGGTGGATGAATTTGGTAGGGTGTGCAAAAGAAGAAAATTAAAGGTGAATACAGGAAAGAGTAAGGTTATGAGGATAACAAAAAGATTAGGTGATGAAAGATTGAATATCAGATTGGAGGAGAGAGTATGGAGGAGGTGAATGTATTCAGATATTTGGGAGTGGACGTGTCAGCGGATGGGTCTATGAAAGATGAGGTGAATCATAGAATTGATGAGGGAAAAAGAGTGAGTGGTGCACTTAGGAGTCTGTGGAGACAAAGAACTTTGTCCTTGGAGGCAAAGAGGGAATGTATGAGAGTATAGTTTTACCAACGCTCTTTATATGGTGTGAAGCATGGGTGATGAATGTTGCAGCGAGGAGAAGGCTGGAGGCAGTGGAGATGTCATGTCTGAGGGCAATGTGTGGTGTGAATATAATGCAGAGAATTCGTAGTTTGGAAGTTAGGAGGAGGTGCGGGATTACCAAAACTGTTGTCCAGAGGGCTGAGGAAGGGTTGTTGAGGTGGTTTGGACATGTAGAGAGAATGGAGCGAAACAGAATGACTTCAAGAGTGTATCAGTCCTGTAGTGGAAGGAAGGCGGGGTAGGGGTCGGCCTAGGAAAGGTTGGAGAGAGGGGGTAAAGGAGGTTTTGTGTGCGAGGGGCTTGGACTTCTAGCAGGTATGCATGAGCGTGTTTGATAGGAGTGAATGGAGACAAATGGTTTTTAATACTTGACGTGCTGTTGGAGTGTGAGCAAAGTAACATTTATGAAGGGGTTCAGGGAAACCGGCAGGCCGGACTTGAGTCCTGGAGATGAGAAGTACAGTGCCTGCACTCTGAAGGAGGGGTGTTAATGTTGCAGTTTAAAAACTGTAGTGTAAAGCACCCTTCTGGCAAGACAGTGATGGAGTGAATGATGGTGAAAGTTTTTCTTTTTCGGGCCACCCTGCCTTGGTGGGTCACCCTGCCTTGGTGGCCACCCTGCCTTAGTGGGTCACCCTGCCTTGGTGGTCCACCCTGCCTTGGTGGGTCACCCTGCCTTGGTGGTCCACCCTGCCTTGGTGGGTCACCCTGCCTTGGTGGTCCACCCTGCCTTGGTGGGTCACCCTGCCTTGGTGGTCCACCCTGCCTTGGTGGGTCACCCTGCCTTGGTGGGTCACCCTGCCTTGGTGGGTCACCCTGCCTTGGTGGGTCACCCTGCCTTGGTGGGTCACCCTGCCTCGGTGGGAGACGGCCGACTTGTTGAAAAAAAAAAAAAATATATATACAGTGGACCCCCGGTTAACGATTTTAATCCGTGCAAGAGGGCTCATCGTTATGCGAAATAATCGTTATGCGAATTAATTTTCCCCATAAGAAATAATGGAAATAAAATTAATCCGTGCAAGACGCCCAAAAGTATGAAAAAAAATTTTTTTTACCACATGAAATGTTAATTTTAATACACACAAACTGAAAAAGGCATGCACAATTACATGACACTTACTTTTATTGAAGATCTGGTGATGATTGATGGGATGGGAGGAGGGGAGAGCATTATCTTCTTACTGTTTAGAAGGGGAATCCCCTTCCATTAGGACTTGAGGTAGCAAGTCCTTTTCTGGGGTTACTTCCCTTCTTCTTTTAATGCCACTAGGACCAGCTTGAGAGTCACTGGACCTCTGTCGCACAACAAATCTGTCCATAGAGCTCTGTACCTCCCGTTTCTTCAAGACTTTCCTAAAATGGGCCATAACATTGTCATTGAAATAGTCACAAGCACGGCTTGCAACAGCTGTGTCAGGGTGATTTTCATCTATAAAGGTTTGCAGTTTCAAACCACTCTGCACACATTTCCTTAATCTTTGAAGTAGGCACAATGGATTCCACAACTGGCATAGGCTTCTCAGGGTTAGCCCCAAACCCTTCAAAATCTTTCTTAATTTCCATACTAATTCTCACCCTTTTTACCACAGGGTTGGCACTAGAAGCTTTCTTGGGGCCCATGGTCACTATTTTCCAGAAACACCACCGAAAACACTGTAATAATACGAAATATTCCGAGTGTATGCTTGGATGTTACCGCGGAGGCTGGCTGTAAACAATGGGACGGCCGGCACATGTGAGGC